TGATAGCAGATACACATCTCTATCCTGCCAGACTCTCAAGTTGAGAGTCTTGGTTCATATTTGTGTCCCTCTACTCCCCCGCACACCCAACTCTTTCCCCTTGATATCAAGTCAGTTACCAAGTATTTCTGGAGTCTGCCTCCTCTGTCCCAATCCTACAGCCATAGACCAAATCCTAACTGAATGATACTTAGATTACCATGGTAATCAGTCTCTTGCCAGTTATCTTACCCATGACAGTCAATAGTAATCACTCCCAAACATTGTTCCAGTTACATCACCAGCTTTTTAGCCTGTTATGGATTCCAGTTGCCTTTTATGACAGATTGAAAGCCCATAAAGTAATTTTGTCTTCACATCCTTTTAATTTAATTGCATTCTTATCCCACTGCATCCCAGTTCACAATCTTCACAACAATCAAAAGGTAACTTAATTTCCTTAACCCTAGACCCTGCTAACATTTTTTCGTTAAGCCTTTTGATGGCGTGCTCCCCTTCCCTGGAATGTTCTACAATTCTCTCTTCTTAATAATATCTTCAGGTCTTTAAAATATATTTATAATGATTCACTTCTTTGATGCATTCTGAAGTACCATGGCTCTCCAGGGACCCCATTCACTCCATACATAGTTGTAACTCATTATATATTTGTTTCTGTTACATGTTTTTGTCTTGTTTATCTTAGTTCTTCCTTAAAAATGTAAATAAAGATCCCATGTTCCTCCTTTAAAACTACCCATGGCAACTAAAATAGTGCTCATACAGAGTAATGAATTAGTACTGACTCTCACTGAAATTTCATCCCTCATTCATCTTAGACAGCTTTTAGAGTTCATTTCAGAACTTGACTACACCGGGCATCTTCTTTTCCTCTCATTTTCTTATTAACTCTCTACAGTCTGACATCTGCCCTCATCATTCAACAGAGCTGCTCTAATTGCCAGATTTAATGGCTTTTTCTTGGTCTTCATCTTTCTCAACTTCCCTGTAGTCTTTGACACTGTTGATTCCTTTTTCTTTTCTCTGGGTTTTTCTTATATTGCTTTCTCCCTGTTCATTCTCAGTCTTCTTTGCTAGATCTTCATCTAGATCATGCCCGCTAAACATGGTCTTCCCACAGGGCTCTGTCTTGGGGACCTCTTCTCTTCTCCCACTATATTATTTCACTTGGTGATCTCATTAGCTCCCATGGATTCAATTATTATCTCTGTGCTGAAGATTCTGAAATCTGCGCATACAATCCTAACTGCTGACCTCCAGTTTCACAACTCCAGCTGCCTACTGGACATTTTGAATTAGATTTCCTGTAGACTGTCTTAAACTCAACATATTCAGCACTGAACTCATTTTCTTTCCATCAAGACTTCTTCCCTTCCAAACTTCCATATTACTGTCAAGAACACCACCATAGGTAACTGCATGGTGTAGTGCATAGAGCACTAGGCTTAGAGTCAGGAAGATCTGAGTTCAAATGCAGCCTCAGACACTTACTAGCTATGTGATCCTAGGCAAGTCACTTGACTCTGTTTACCCCAGTGTCCTCATCTGTAAAATGGGGATAATAACACCTACCTCCCAGGGTTGTTGTAAAGATCAAATGAGATCATAATTATAAAGCACTTAGCACAGTGCCTGGCATATAGTAAGCACTATATAAATGTTAGCTGTCGTCATCATTATCATCAACATCATCCTCTCAGTCTTCTAGGCTTGCAACCTAAGTGGCATCCTTAACTCTTCATTCTCTTTCTCACCCCCTGTATTCACTCTGTTGCCAAGGGCTGTCAATTTTAGCTTCAACATCTTTCACATGTGCTCCCTTCTCCTGACCCTGCCACCATTTTGGTACAGGCCCTTATCACCTCCCATCTCGACTATTGCGGTAGCCTACTGATTGGTCTCTCTGTCTCAAGTCTCTCCCCACTCCATTCTGTACTCCATTCAGCTGTCAAATAAATGTTCCTAAAGCACAGGTCTGACTGTGTTACCACTCCCCACTCAGTCAATTCCAGTGACTTCGGATCACCTCCAGGATCAGATATAAACTCCTCTGCTTGGTGTTCTAAGTCCTTCATAACCTCCCCACACCCACACATATCTTCCCAGTCTTCTTATACTTTATGCCACTTTCTTTCCTCACACCATGCAATCCAGTGACGTTGGCCTCCTCACTGTTCTTTCTAACAAACATTACTTTCATTGGCCGTCCCCTATTCCTAAAATGCTCTGCCTCCTGGCTTTTCTGAATCCTACCTAAAATCCCACCTTCTACAGGAAGTCTTTTTCCATCCTTCTTAATTCTAATACCTTCCCTCTGTTGATTATTTCCTATATATCTTTCATATGGCTGATTTGTACATAGTTGTTTGCCTGTTGTCTCCTCCTTTAGACTGTGAACTCCTTGAGAACTAGAGCTGTCTTCTACATTTCTTTTTATCCCCAGTGCATAGTTCTCTGCTATATTAAAGGTGCTTAATAAATGTTTATTGACTGAAACAAACATTTATTAAGCACCTGTTATATGTAAAGCACTCTGCTAGGCTGAAAATATAAAGACAAAAATTAAAAAACAGTTGGCTGATGGATGGACCCCCACATTGGTCTCTTGAGATAATTCCTCTTTCTCCTCAAATTGTTATTCATGAGAACTTCCTATTTCTCCTTGGATGACTTCCCCTGGAGAATTTTAGAAATAAAGATACACATACACACACACGCACGCACACACACACACGCACATGCACGCAGCTTTAATTAAACATTTATTATATGTCAGGCCCTACGCTGGTTGCTATCTATCCTTCTTCAGAACTCTGAAATAATGGGGGTTAGGAAAGAAAGAAGGTTGGCAATAAGCATTTATTAAATGCCTACTGTGTTCCAGGCACTGTGCTAAGCACTTTTTACAAGTGTTATCTCATTTGATCCTCTCAACAACCCTGGGAAATAGGTACCATTGTTATCCTCATTTTACATTTGAGGAAACTGAGGCAGACAGAAGTTAAGTGATTTGTTCAGAGTCACAGCAAGTAAGTATCTGAGGCCAGATTCCAACTTAGGTTTTCCTGACTCCAGGCCCACTATTCCCATCTACTGTACCACCTAATTGCCTCTATTGGGAGTAAGGGGATTATGGAGTAGAAGAGAAGAGGAATTTCATGAGTAAAGATCTGTTTTCTCAGCAAATTTTTATATCGCCCTCAAGCTTAAGAATAGTTTTTACATTTGCTGTATAAAGACAGCAGTCTGGATTTGTGTAGTTTGCCTACTGATGCCATAAAGGGCTTTGGAAGAAAAGGTTTGGAAAACTTGCAATGGAGAGTGTGATGGAGTCAATCAAGGAAGAGTTTAATTGACTTCTTGGAAGTAAAAGGGCCCTGATAGATTAGGCAATATATGTTTATTGTTGACCTCTAAAAGGTGGGGTTGTTAATGTGCCTTTCTCCAGCGGTATCAAGAAGAAGAAAAAATGAAGGGAGAGAAACATGCGTTTATTAAGCACCTACTGTATGCTATATGCCAGGCACTGAGCGAAGTATTTTACAAATAACCCTGGGAGGAAGGTGCTATTACTATGCCCATTGACAGTTGAAGAATCTGAGTCTGGAAGAAGTTATGATTTGCGCAGAGTCACAAAGCTATAAATATCCAAGGCAGGATTCTTAGCAAAGGCCTGTCTGACTGCAGGCCCACGGCTCTGTTCACTGCACCACCTAGAAGAAACCGAGTAGAAGCAGAGAAGGAGATTGGCGGAAATAATCCATGCTTGAGATTTAGCAGCAGTAGGACCAAGGCGGTAAGGGATTCTAAAGAAGGAAGGAAAGTGACACCAAAAGAAGGATTGCAGATGAGATCGCCAGGGAAAGGTAGAGGGATTGGAGAGCACAGTGAGGGTGAGGAATTGGTTTGGAAGAAGATATCAGGATAGGGTCAGAAGGAGAGATGTAAGGAGAGAAAGTTATGATCAGAAAGATTGGCAGTTTGGGATAATAGAGCATAATTATAGAAGGTGAGATCCAGAGTATGATTCTTCGTGTGGGTGACCGAGCTAGAAGAGAGGTGTAGGTTGTCTGACATGTGTATTGAAGTCACACCGAGTATGAGGTCAGGAGTGGAAGCTGAGAGGAGCACTATGAACCCGATACTAAAGGGTTACGGGAAAGAGGAAAAAAAGACCTGGAAGCTAATAGACGTGTATGAGTGAGGATATACAATAGGTAACAGGAGAGGAGAGGTTACTGAGGGGTTAATCCCTCTTTGGAGTCAAAGAGGACATCCTTCAACTTCATTGCTCTTTTGTTGAGAATTTTTGTCTATTATGCAAAACAAGCCCTAATTAAAGGCTGTACTTTCAGAGTCACAAGGATTTTCGTAGTTTAAATTCTGCTTCTTCGTTTTTTAGCTCGAATATGGAGGAGAAAGGAACAGAAAAACAAGGTACCCAGTTTAATGAGAAATCTTCTGTTATAAATAAGATGTGGGTTAAGATGGAAGAGTAGACTTCTTAAAAGTAGGAGACATTGATGGTGAAACAAAAAGCATTCTCTTGTTTCAGTCCTTTAGGACTTTGAAGTTTGTTGTTTTGTGTAACTCTCCGAACGTTGCTTCTATCCCTTCCTTGATTAAAACTGGGAGCTAAGGTACCCTAAGTGTTACAGGAATGTTGCCTCCTAGTATGATGTTGCTGATTGACTAAAAAAATCGTTTCTGTTACTCGGGGAGATATCGTTCATAAGGACGGTGTTGATGTGGCAGGGAGAAGTATGCCTACTCTCATTGGCCCAGAGGTACTTGAAAGAAAGATATGGTGCTGGTTAAGGAGCTTCAGGGATATAGTGTCTTCTGGAGGAGCCCAGCTTCTGTTAGTATCAGAAGATAGAAAGAATGTAAGCGGTGATATCTAAGATGCAAGGGTATTTGTTAATACTCTTGAGTCAGTTGAGGATATAGGAATTCCAGAAGGAAAAGGCTTAGATGTAATTATTTTTGTTTCTTTCCAGGTACACAGACAAATGGCCTAGACTTCCAGAAGCAGCCTGTTCCTGTTGGAGGAGCAATCTCTTCAGCTCAGGCTCAGGCCTTCCTTGGACACCTCCATCAGGTAAAACATTCTGCTCAACTGGGAAAAGTTTGAGACAGAACTGGGAGTATGGCAGTACTAATGGGAAAGATGTTTCAGAATATTTAGAATTTTCCTTTTTTCAAAAGGATGATGTTGAGCATGTGTTACAGAATTGATGTGGCTATGTTGGTGGCTATAATTTAGCAGGTTCTCTAGGCCACAGACCTCACAACTGCAGGCAAAAAGATTCTCTTACTTTGAATATGTATAACTAAATTACTTATTTTGACAAGCATAAGGGCCAGTTGAGAGTATAGGCCAAAACTAGATAGACAAATCTAGAACTGCCCCAGCATGCTCCCGTGCCTACAAAGAAAGTAGCAATTTGCTCATAATATTATCCTATTAAGCTGTTTTAAAATACCTTCGTTTAGAAAGTAATATAAACCACTCCTACGTGCTGGGCTGGCTCAAATGAAGCGTGTAGTGTGAGGCCATGAGTGAGAAGATCTGGGTTCCAATCTAACATCTTACTGATGGGTTGTTAGACAACTCCCTTATTCTGTTTTAGCTTGTTTCTTCTTTTATATGAGAACTCTTCTGCCCATGTCCTAGGATGAATGTGAGAATATAAGGTGAAAACCTTATACATCTTCATTGTGGTTTAGAATGTTACAAGTGATGTTATTGATCCTTGTTTGGGGTAAAATAAAGTATCCTTTAACTTTGTTGCTTACGTTGAGAATTTTTGTTCTGGGCATACAAAACAAGCCTTTAAAGAACACACCTTGTACTTATAGAATCAAGGATTTTTGTGGTTTAAATTATACTTCTCCATTTTTTAGCTGAAGGGAAAGGAATAGAAAAATAATGTCGGATTTAATGAGAATATTTATATTATAAGATCTGAGTAAAGATGCAAGAGAAGTAGATTCTAAAATAGTGGGAGAGATTCATGGGGATATAGAAAACATTTCCTGTTTCATTCTCTTGGGACTTTCAAGTTCATTGTTTTGTGTAACTTCTAGCACTTTGCTTATATCTCTTCTTTGATTAAAACTGGGAGCTAATGTACTACTTACAGCAATGTTGTGTCTTGGTATAATGATGCTGATTCACTATGTCTTGGGCAAAAAACTGAAGATATTTGCTAGATGGTGTTTTCACTACTGATGCTACTTGAAAGGCAGAAGCTTCAGAAGAGGCAGACTTATTGGTAAAGTGGTTAAAATGTTGTCTGAGAATGGGATTTGATCTGGAACCTGGACCATTGATTAAAGTATGTAAATGACAAGGTTCTAAGTAGGGATGGTCAATACCCACTGATAGTTGGTAAGACCGTTATTTGCCTGTAGTTTTGTAAAACTAACTAAAAGAACTTTGAAATCAGTAGGAAAGGAAGGGAGGAAGAAAACTGAAGCATACTTGTCCATTATGCCATTTACCATAAATGCTAGCTTTGTTGTAGGACAGAGTAACAGCAATAAAAATACCCTGAGGTTCACAAGAGACAAAATCCAAGGAAGATGCCAGTCATAGAGACTGTGACCTCCAATGTTGATATTCAGTTGCACAAATTATAGTAGCAAGCAAGATGAACTAGAAGAACATCCTATTACATGAAAGTAAATATTACTTTATATGCATTACTGAAGCTTAGTAGAATGAGACTTAGAAAAAAGAAAAAGGCACTTCAAGGATAAAGCTTAAAGAATAGGGAAGGGGCATCTAGGTGGCACAGTGGATAGAGCACCGGCCCTGGAGGCAGGAGGACCTGAGTTCAAATCTGGCCTCAGACACATAACACTGGCTGGCTGTGTGACTCTGAAACCCTAATTGCCTCACCAGAAAAACAAACAAACAACCAAAAAAAAAAAAAAGAATAGGAAGAGGGACATTCCACTGTGTATACTTAAAAGCATGTCACAATGCAGTAAAAATAGAAAATAACACCGGGAAAGGATACAGACTTGAATAGAAGTTTCATTATGAATTGGTCAAAATATAAGTCATAGAAACAAATAATAACTGTGGAAAATAATGATAATGATTACACAGACATTAATGTTTCTAGGATACAGCTAAGACCCTAGAGGAAAAATTTATCTGAGACCACATATCAATATAATATAAAAATAGCATTAATGAACTGAATATATTGTTTAAAAATAGAAAAATCAACAAATAAATAAACTTGAAATTAATACAAATGAGGAAATAATTAGAAGAGAAATGGATAAATTGGGAAACACTGTAGAATTGATAAAACTAAGTCATTTCTTTGAAGAGGCTAACAAAATAGATAAAATAGCCAATATGATCAAAAAGAAGTGAGAAAAAAGGTAAAATGACTAAAAAAGTCAATAAGCTGAAATCACGACAAACAAGGAAAAAAACATTTATAATCCACAGCCCAGTTACATTCAAATAAAACTGAGAATTTCAAGTGAAATGTTATTATATATGAAAATGTTAAATTCAGAAATGAACAGAACTTGAAATAGAGATTTTAATCCCTTTTCAGGAAATGAATTTAACTAACTGTGAAATAACTACTAAGGGGTGAGGGTTCCCTCAGTGGATTTAGAGGTGAATATCAATCATATGATATAAATATTTAACAATAGTGATGAAGTATTGAAGGATCAATATACAAGGTATTTGAATCTAGGGATAATACTAAGGGTATGGAAAAATCTTAGACCTTATTAACAGGAAAGAAATGTGACTAAGAAAACATCATCAGCTACAGACAGACTCCCATATGCCTACCCTCCATCTATACAAAATCTTCATGAGTCATCCAAACATAAACTGATGGCATCCTGGATGAGAGCTTTAGAGAAAATAAGCAAGCTTCCCTAAGTGTCAACAATGTACCACACCTTTATCATTTTAGAGTTGTGTGAAAGATGGAGAGAATAGCAGATCTTGCTATTTCTATTGATTTTCGATTGGGGAAAAGTATTTAATTTAGTAAAAATGGCTGACATAAGGTTTGCAAAGCACACATATTATCTCAATTGATCCCCCCAATACTATGAAATAGGGGCTATTATTATCCCTGTTTTATAGATGAGGTAAGTGACACAGAGAGAGGTTAAGTGACATGCCTAAGCGTTACGTAGATAATATAAGTGTCTGAAGCAGAATTTGAACTCATGTGTGCCTGACTCCCAAGTCCAACACTTTATCTACTGTGCTTCCTAGCTACTCAGGTTTGATTTAGTAGAGCACAATGCTAACAAAGTATCTGCCATCCATGCTTTAAAATTTCTTGAAAGATATAGAAACAGGAGTAACCATGTTTATCAGCCTTCTTATAATGAACATCAAGCAAGCCACTGAAAAAAAGAAGATAAATGCTCAGCCAACCATATTGGAAGAGATTCATCAGAATCCAAGTTAAAGAGAGATTCTTTATTGATGACAAGAGCTTCTAGAGACTATTAGATGATATATGTGGTAGTGACATGAAACTCCAGATCATTTCAGAGCTTCCTAGAATCTATCTGTATACAACCAAAAGAGTTGGTCCTGAATCTCTGCACAGGAAAGATCAAGTGAATAAAGAATTGCCCAGATTATTACATTCATTTGGTTGAAAGCCTGTGAAGCTCGTCCCCAACAGTGTGTGTGTGTGTGTGTATAAAATATTTAGTGTTGATGGTCATTAAATTAGGCCCAGGTTAAAGGAGGGTCATAGATTAAGAGCCGGAGGTTCTAAGCTGGACTTAGAGCGAAGCTAGTTGAACTCCCTCAGAAAAATGGACTTAATTGTCTTTGGGAATTGTATGTCACCATTAATGACTGCAAGTTCCCAAAGAAACAAAGACTGATTTTAATACCAAGTTTTACTGTTGCTGTATGGCAGTGAGATAAGAAATTCTACAGTCTCCAAAGACTGAGGTTCTTTTAAGATCCAGCTGTCAGGGAAGCATCATCAAAGGGGAGGGAGACAGAAAGTAATAAGGGAAAATAAGGAAAAATGACTGAAATTACCAAAGATCTCGGGAGGAAGAAAATTCAAAGACCTTGAGCATATAAACAGATAAACCAACCGGGAAGATATTAATAGCAGAAGGAAATGTGGCCTTCAGACTAAGTAAAAGAGTTCAAGTATCTGTTAATAAGTATTGCAAGAAAAAAGGAAAATGAATCAACACCTGCTGAGGCAGAGGAACCTGTAGATTCCCAGAGGGGACATAGAAACATAGCAGCATGTTCCTAAGTGGTTTAAAAGAGAAATGAAATCTGTTTATGGTCTGCACGTCAGAAATAATTGGCAGAATAGGAAAACTTGAATTCAGAGAGACAAGTTTCACCAAAGAAACAAGAGGGGGGAGGATAACTGGGAATGCAGATACACAGAAGTGAAGGACAATCTAGAAGAAGAGAAGCAAAAAACAGTGACATTAAAAGAAAGCATAACCCTATACAAGCAAAGTGTATTGGTCACAAAAACAATACTCTGTAGAGACAACTTAAAGATTATAGGTGTCCCAGGAGAACATGACAAGTCAAAAACTTGAACACTGTAATACAAGAAATAATATTTTTAAACGGCACAGAACTTCCAAACACAGAAAAGCAAAGTGGCAGTCAAAACAAACAAACAAAAAATTCCTTTGCTTCCAGAAGAAAAAAGCAAACTAATGAAAAACAAACCACGATGCTACAAACTTCAAGATTCATAGTGGTTGATTTTTACAGTTACACTGACAGATAAATTTCTTCAGGTGACCAGGAGAAAAATCTTCAAATGTGAAGGACAGGAAATTCAAATAATAACAAGACTATCCTGTATTCTCAAAAAGTTATAAGAGGTGGTGGAAGAATGTGTTCTGAAGATCAAGGGGTAGCTCAAGATGCCGCTAATGACCCATTCTGCGAATCTGAGCTCCATCATAAATGAACACGGACATTCAGTTTAAAAAAAAAAGCATTTGAAACATTCTTAAAAAGAAAACTAAATCTGAAGAAATTGTTTGCTTCTTAATCACCCTAGACAAGAGAAACGCAAGAAGGATTAACAAATA